AGGAACTTTTTTAAAAAGAGAAGTTTTTACTGGGAGCTCTGGGAAATTGAGAAATATCCAGTCCCAGGACATTCCATTATCAGCAAACACTTTTCTTTCAAGTTCCACATTCCCATATCATCATCATATCTATATTGTGTGTGTGTGTGTGTGTGTGTGTGTGTGTGTGTGTGTTTTCTAGCATAACTTTGGAATGTCTCAAGCAATTTCAACCAAACTTGGTACACAGATGACTTACTCTCTGGAAAAAAATATTGTGGAGGGTAAGACACCCCTAAAACCCCTCAAGGTGTGTGTTTTGTTAAGATAAAGCCAGTTGTGATGCTTAAAATGGCTTCTACTGTACTGCTGTAAAATGGCTTCTACTGTGCAGCGCAGTGGAGTTGCCTCAGTAACAGCTTCACAATATTCCACAAGGGGGCTCCCTCCGGTAAGGGGAAAATCCAACATTAGAAATTACATTTGGTCTGGACATTTCCCCCTATAAATAAATGCTCCAGTTTATCAGCTACTGTTAGAATATAGAAGACATTGCAAGTGAAGCAACAGTCCTTGCAAGTGAAGCAACAGTCCCCCACAATATCTGTTTATAGATAGGTTTTTTGCTTTCTGCACAAAATTTTCCACATATACTTGATGTTTGCATTGCCAACATGCTGGGTATATTTATTTGTTATAAAGCTCCTAGTCATAGGTCAAGGAGAATAAAATTTAGTCTTGTAGAAAACACTGTTCTATATTTACCAACACTGTTTTCCTTTCTTCTCTTTGTAACTTATAAAATTGAAGAGAGCTAGATGAGAGGAAGAGGGACAAATCAAGAAAGCTTGCTAACCCTAACCCTTAAAGATGAAACTAAAATTTGGAGGAATGACTTCACTAGAAGACTTTGTTTCTGAATTTCTTTCTAATCACTAATTTTGGTTGGTTTCCTCCTGTTCCCATTTGGATATTGATTACCTGCTGTTTTTCTTAACCAAGAAAAATCTTCAAGTATTTGTAATTGATCGAGTCCATGAGGGAGGTTGTTTTTCACATCAGACGAAAGGACCACATTGTTATAACAAACAGTATCAGTTGATTTGATGTATGTTCCCTAGGCTATCTGAATCATATTCCCATAGGTCCAGATCTTGTGTAGCCATGAATCATAAATCTTTGGGGTGGAAAGGCTGGGGGAATCGCTTATAATGATTTCTCAGTCATTATGTTATCCAGGATGTAAGAGAAATATTTGTTTTACATTCGAATGTCTTAGGTGTTTGGCTTGCATGCTTCCATGAATCTTGCTCATATCTCTTGCCATTGTTCTTCAGAATTTTGACCTCAGGCCACTTGAAAATATGTCATTCTTGATTTAACACAGAAAAGGATTTGGAATATAGGATTTAACGTACAAGACCAGGATTTGTAATACAAGTAGATGTACATGGAGCTATACCAGTCCTACCTTGGGGATTGTCAAGGTGAATGAATGAATTCTGCAAAATTGATAAATGTGCGGAGGGTTGGCATCCATACTCTTATCATACCAATTGCTGTCTTCAAATACTAGTCATACAATAGACAGAATGGTATATCACACACATTGGACTTAAGAAAACACCAAGTTTTAAATAAGCCATTGGTTAGAGAGGGAAGGAATATTCCAGTTAAGATTCCCTCTGTAAATAATCCTGCTGAGACCTGCCTGCAATGCTTACTACCTATTAGAAACAAAAGAGGAATGGAATGGATGAACCAGGCATGAACAGAAATCTTACATTGTCATGTTCTGGTTTTTTACTTTACCAGAAGTAAATTCTGGTCACTCTTGCCTCGAAGTGATTGTGTGAGTGATCAATATGCTTTGTACACAAACTGAGTAAAATGCAATGTCAGAATTATGGGTACATAAAAGCTAAGAAAATTGCAATTAATCTGCTGGATGTTGCATAATGCTCTGCAATAACTAACATTTGTTTTTGTTTCATTTTCTAAACATGCTCTTTGTTTTTCTCCATTAAATGAAATTGATTTTTTTCTGCAATATTTTAAACATCTGAAAAATAGTGTACTTTTTGTAAGTGAATAATGATAAACAAAAGTACAGTAAAATAAACTCACTTGCCAAATCAGCTTACAGGAATGATCCTTTTAGTATTTTAAATGAGTCAGTGGTATACAAATACAGACTCTTTCAATTGCTTGCATATACTGTATCTTTATTAAAACAGTTATAGATCAGTTACATTGCAATATGTGATGCAGCTTCATATGTATGCTTATAAAAGCATTATCTAAAGAGGTTGCAGTTCAATACAATTAAAGTTACGAAACCGAATCAAATAGAATGTGCAATTGCACTGAGGTTCCTTATATAAAGGGTTCAATGGATTTTTCTTAATAATAAGATCATTTTTTTAAATTCTTATTTGCACTAGATTACTAGGCCAAGCAGCTATAGCAAGAAATCTCACTTTGAAATTGAAGATGCTGATGAAGTTGACAAGATGGAAATCAGGTAAAATACTTTATATCAGGCGTCTCCAACCCCTGAGTTGTGGCCCACTACCGAGCTGTGGCCTTTTCAGAATTGGGCTGTGTAAGTGGCTGGCCAGAAAGTACACACCCACAACTCAATTTGCACAAGCAGCAGGCTGATGAACACTTGCACTTTTGCACAGTGGCCTACCTCTTGCACAAGCTGCGTGCATGCTCACTGGTCCATCACTCATGCAAGGGATGTGGGCACATGCCAGCCCGCCACTCACATGGCCCAGTTCCCCTCTCCCCTTTTGGAGCAGGTCCACCAAGCAGCAAAGGTTAGGGACCTTCTGCATTATTGGTAAAATCAGCAATGAATGGAAGTAGCAGTGCCTTTCTATTCGTGACCTTTGCTTTTCCTCCTTGAACAGTTGGGGCATTTCTACACCAGTGTTTTATTCCGCTTTGAAACCGGTTCCCCCTCTTTTTTTACAGTACCATCTGTTGGGGAAGTTGAGTTTGCTTCTGGCTCTGTTCCAGTTTATTTGAAATAATTCAGTATTGGTATTTTTCTTCGAATCATGCAATTCTGAAGATAGCTTCTTGCATACCACCTTCCATCTCCTGATGCCAGTAATTATTCTCTTTTCCTGCACGCATTTAGAACTTATCACATCTAATCCATTCCCTGTTGTAATATTTAACCTCAGTCGCTATTAGGGAAGTTGCCTGATTACTGCCAGTATAATTTCACCTTAACAATTTACAAAAACTTTTAAATATAACAGAAAAGTGATGACAAAGAGGCTGAGAAGAAATTTTGGAAGGATTTCAGTGCCTTTTGGAAAAAAAAATAAATCAAAGTTTCTTTGAATCATAGAAATGTCTGCATTTTTTTTTCCAAACAACCAAATAAATTCAAGCAAACACCATGTACAGAAAAATATGGTCAGAGGACACTAGCACTTCCTTTTCTTTTTGCATAAGAATAGGACTGGTGAGGTTTTGTTACTGCAATGATGGTGGTAGCTCAAAAGGTTTGTCTAACTCTAAACCTAACCCTGCTATAGGCTTGCTGCAAGTAACATTAGACCAGCTTCAAGATTATCAGTTGAGCAATGCTAAATTTGGATACTTTGAAAACAGGATGACCCTCCTTTTAAAGCTCACTAGTGTGTCCCATCAATTTAATATGAACTCATTGCTGCAAGAAATATGATCTTACAACCTGAGCTTCTAGATTTAAACAACAGGAAGAAATGGGAACAAATACACACAGACAAAACATTGTGTTGGGAACATGGAATACCTGAATCCATTTCTATACGTTTATCACATGGTGGAATCAGATTATTATTTCTTTAACGATCTTCTCGGTTGATAGAAACCAGCTTCAAGTCTTTCTACTGTGCCAACCTAAGATGAGTTAACATAGCAGTACTCTTCTGTTTGCTTCAGCTTGGTGTCAGGGTTCCAAGTAACACCCCCAACAAAAGAAGACCCCAAGGCTTGAGTTTCCTCAAAGTTCCATTTTATTAGAGATGTCATATTGGCACATCTGGGAAAACCCGAATCTGAAAGTTTCCAGGTTTTCCCCACCCAAAGGAGTGTTCACATCCCTGCCCAGCACCTACATGTCCATCACATGATCCAATCAGGCACCATCCAAAACTGGAGATTCCTCCCAATCACCTCATCACAGGTGCAGGGCAAGATGGCCTTGACTCTCTGAGAAGAGAATGTTATTTTGACTATATATCATCCATATTCCATATAATCCCCACTCCCATTTTCCCACAGTGGAAAATGTGGCAGGCCTGAAGGCCCAAATGTAAAAGATGGCTTCCAGGTATGACATCTGGGCTTTAAAAACATCCTCTTTTGCCTTGGAGTTGGTTAGTTAATTAGTTAACTTTTAGTTTATATTTTTTGGAGAGGACGGAAATGAAAGTATTAAAGAGGAAGAGAAAGGGCTTTTTCTTCTGTCCTTCATTTTGTCTTTTACTCTTACAGAGTTGATCTTTGGAATGCAAGCAACTTGAAGTTTGGAGATGAATTTCTGGGAGAGTTGAGGCTGCCACTCAAATTTCTTCGACAGTCTAGCTGTTATGAAGCATGGTACTTTATTTTATTAAACTATTTTGCTCTTTATTTTTATTTCTTTATAAGTTGTTTCAGAACAATTTTGCTACCTGTCATAATTGATTTCTTATCTAGTGTATTTTTTAAAAAAATCCTTCTCCTACCTGCCCAATCTAGTTTAAGGCAGAAATACATGTCATCACAACCATAATGTGTTTAGCCACATAAAAATGAAAAGACATGAAGAAAGATTTATAGACTCTTTCATAATACTGGGAAGAAAGGCCACCTATATGCAATACAATCTATATATAATTTTAGAAGCTGTTTCATGTTTCTCTCCTTTGTTAGGTATTTCCTGCAGCCCAGAGTTAATGGCAACAAAACACTGAAACCTGATGACCTAGGTTCTTTGCGGTTAAATGTGGTTTACACAGAAGACCATGTTTTTCTTCCAGAGCATTACAACCCCCTTAGAGACCTCTTATTAAAGTCTGCAGATGTTGAGGTAATTTTTCCATTCTTCTCATATTTATCATTTTACAATAAACGGTCTGGTGTCCTCAAGCTCTCTGCAAACATGGCTCCTTGCTAATTAACAAATTATAAGATAAATTAGATGCTGAAATATGCATTTTCTGCCTCCCCTGGAGCAAATGTCCAGGAAATGATCTTGTTTATGATGACTGTGTCCCCAAAATAATTTGGCTGTGGGAAGCCAACAGTTTTGATCAGGATCATTTTTAATCTCTGGATTCCTATACTTAGTAGCAATAAGAAGTTAGTGATTTTATCTCTGCATTGTAATTGTTCCTTGAGTAGGGCCTAGAAGGGAACATCCGATAACTTTCTATTTTCCCTTTCCTATTAGTATCTCATCTCTATTCCACCTGCTTCTGTATTCCGTCTGTAAACTGTGGGAAAATAATAATCTCCCCAACTTTCTCCAATAGCTTATCCATTGGCTCATCAGTAGGCCATTGATATCCTGCATGAAAGACTTCACTGCAGTAATTTTTTTGTTGCTAGTCTATTAATCAACTGATTAGTAAGCTAGTAGAAACTATGGGAGGAAGGAAGCACATCATACAGATAACTTCTAAAGATAGCTGGTTGGCTACAACTGGATTAGGATCAGCTACTGCAGGGGTGTCAAACTCACGGCCCGTGGGCCGGATGCATCATGCACTGGCCACTCCCACCCCCATTTTAGTGAAGAGGGAAAAGTCACAATACATCATATGACGACAATGCGATGTCGCACATTTGACACCCTTGAGCTACTGTCTTGATAAATTGGTAATCCTTGACTTAATGCAGCAATTTTCAAACAGTGGTTATAGAATACTGGCTGTTTGCAGAGATCTCTCCGGTAGTCAGCTGAAATCTACCCACATGTATTGTAAGTCAGCTGGTATGACAAAATACATCAGTGGCAAAATAAACAGGGTAGACTGCTACTCCTCCTTTTCTTTGCTATGTAAATCTGTGATCTCAACACAAGCAACTAAAAAAAATGCTAATCGATATCTAAAACTGGGATTTCATTTATTTTCAAGCAAGTTCTTAGGACTAAGAGACTTTTACCCAAGAACATTCTTGATCAAATTCATGTTATGATTTGTTATTATTGCATGTGAACAAAAATAATTCAAGGGGTAAATAAATACTGAATTGTGGATTAAACTTTTGGTAAAAAAAAAAAAAGCTGAAATATCTTTAGAAAAATTAAGAGGAAATAGAAAAGACCAAAACACAACTATGGTCATTAACTTATTTGTCAAAAAACATAATTCCCATTGTAGAAAAAGCATTAGGAGTTTTTCTCCTGTTTTCAGTGGGCGGACTCCACATTTTTATGAATATTAATTTAGTGACTGACAATTGCAGAAACTTTGAGAAAAAATTGACTTAGTGCAGCACTGTGTAACATACAAGCTACATGCGGCCTGTTAGGTAGAGTTGTATTTCTGTATCAGAAACTAGTTTTTCGTTTTAACATTCAAGTAGCCTTTTGTCAAGTCTACTTAGCATTCTTGCTAAACTTTGAGAAAATACAAATGCATAGCTTCTCCTGATTTGGCCACTTCTTCAGGAGGTCAAGGGTCAATGCTTCCTTTGTATTCTTCTTAATGAGCCAGGTTTCTCCTGTAATCTTTTGAGTGACTTGTCCCCATGATCTCTAAATCTCTATAAAATCTCTTCTAGCTCTCAGCTTTCTTTCATGAAATATTAATTTCCTTTCCTCCAGAAGAGTGCAGTGTAAATCTCATATTGACATATTGTAGCAACTTTGACAAAAAATACCAGAGACTGGGATAACTTATTCCATTAAACATTTATTTTTATCAGTTTATTGAAAAACCAATTGTTACACATAATGTTAATTTGTGCATTATGGCTTAATATAGCATCTCAACAACTCAAAGTCTTTTCCTCTCACAAATCCAAACAGGGATAAAATAAGGAAAAAAATGTAGTTATAGATAGCATGTCTTAAATTGATAAGTGCCCAAAATACAAGTTTTCTTTTGTAATTCCACTTAGCTAAAAGCTGACATTTAATGAAAGAAATATGATAGATATACATACATACAATTCGACCTCAATACATTGTGTCATAGGTTTCTATGTAAATGGACACTGCTCTTAAGAAATTGGCAGTTCATTTAAAAATTATTTCAGGGATGCCTCCATTTAAACTTTTTTGCTTTTCTCTGTTTAGCCTGTTTCAGCATCAACTGCCCATATACTGGGTGAAGTCTGCAGGGAAAAACAGGAGGCAGCCATACCTCTGGTTCGACTCTTCCTCCACTATGGCAAAATTGTGCCTTTCATTAGTGCAATTGCAAATGCAGAAATAAAAAGAACTCAGTAAGTACAATAGTGCATGTATTGTAAAAAGAGGTACCGAGTAGCAAATGATGATTTGGGGGGGGGGGTGTCATACATAAGGACAAATGGGCCTTTGATTTTCCACATTCATTTATTGATAAGGATTCCACAGCAAGTATTTTCAGCATCAAAAAGTTGTGATTGAGGTTAATAAAGACAGGAACAGAATTGCGTCATCTAAACATTTGGCTGATGAATGGTTTAAAGATGAGGATGTTTTTTTAAAGCAAGGTCAATATTTTGCCCTGGAGCTCCATAGCTAAATTCCTTATGCTATTTTTACCAACCAGTAGAATAGTTTTATAAGGAGAGTAGTAGTCCAAAGATATCCTGGGAACTATTTTCTCCCAAAACTTAGCTAAGAGAGCACACAGAACAATAGTAGGATAGATCCCATTTCATTAAATACCTTGTAACTTGCCTCACATGTTTATTCTAAGAAGAAATTCTGATACCAGATACAATATCCATGGATTAAGGAAAGAATGCAAATCTGGTAGAGAAGGATTGGACCAAGCTGCAGCACTGCGTATTTCTTTGTTCTGCAGCCAGATTTGAAGCCTGGATAGCTCATTTATCTTCTACACTTACTTCACTACAGATTCAGTCTTACTGCTATGAATTATAGACTTATCAGCTTATAGACAGCTACTGCACTAAAATAATTATCCTGTTCAATTGCCTGCTTTTCTAGAAGAATCCTGGAGTTTGCTGACCAGACTTAACAGAAAAACAGCTACTCTAGTTTATTTTACTTATTTATTGTTTGCCCTGCCTTTCTATTCCAATAAGCCCTTACAATTGCTAATTTTTAAAACATGATACAGCTGATTAAAAACATAATGAATATAGGTAATCCCCGACTTACTACCACAATTGGGTCTAGAGTTTTATGATTCTTTTATGAAGGTTGTTAAGTGAATCATGGCAATTAAATGAATCATGTGGCTGTTAAGCAAATCCAGTTTCCCCCAATGACTTTGCTTATTGGAAGCCAGTTGGGAACGTTGTAAATGGAAGTCACATGACCCCAGGAGACGGCAACTTTTCTAAATACATGCTGGTTGCCAAGCCCTCAAATTCTGATCAGGTGACTGTGGGAATGCTGCAACGATTGTAAGTGTGAAGTATGGTTGTAAGTCACATTTTTCAGTTCCCTTGTAACGGTCTCTAAATGAATGGTTGTAAGTTGAAGACCATCTGTACTGTAATGTAATCATTGTAAGCCTGGCAAAGGAGCTTTTCCTTATGGATTTCTTCAATGCTGAGGGCCTGGAGAACACTCAGATTGCAAGGTGCCTTCCATTCCTTGAGTCTGAGCAAGCCACTGACAATGGGGACATTTCAAGAGGGTCTCTCCCGCAGATCTTAATGCCAGAGAGAGCAGCAAGGAGAGGAGTTCTGCACCACACGATACTCTGATGCTCTGATGGGTGTTGTGCTAGAGATATGTGCAAACTACTATTCCGGTTTTTTTTAGGACCATGCCAATTCAGCTATTCCAGAAATGATGTTTGTTTCAGTTGGATGTTTTGTGATACCCCAGATGTTATTTGGTTCCAATTTTATCTGGAACACCACACACTGGTACTAGTTCAAACAAGTCCACTAGTACAGGAATATAGGATGGCATAGAGAAGAAATGGAATGTTCCAGACATCTCTGAAATGTTTGTTGCTGATCGGTTTTTCTCATGCCTTGCAATACCAACTTTAAACTTTTTATGGAGATGCCAATGGGTTGGCTACCTAGGAGCAATCTGTGCCCAGCAAGTTATGGTATCCTTCCTTTGCAGCAGTCTGAGGCTGATAGCCATTATTGGTCTTCACACTATGATTAGTCCTTTTTAATGGGCCTCTAGATCAGGAGTGGATTCCTGCCAGTTCTAACCTCTTCTATAGAAGAGGTTCCACAAATCTACAGTGCCGTTTAGAACCTGTTCCAGCTCCCTCCCCCCGCCCGTCCGCACATCATGAAGAGCGAGAGGAGGAATTCTGGGAGTTGAAGACCACAAGTCTTAAAGCTGTCAAGTTTGGACATCCCTGGGTTTTTTTCCCTAAAGGGTTAGGGGTGCAAGGGTCTTGTAACTTGACAGCTTTAAGACTTGTGTGCTCAGAGTTTCTGAGCCAACATTTTTGTTGCTAAGCAAGAGCGTTGTTAAGTGAGTTTCACCCCATTTTACAAGTTGGCCACACCCACGCAATCACATGGCTGGCAAGCCACTCCCACCCAGTCACATGGTCAGCAAGCCACTCCCACCCAGTCACATGGCTGGCAAGCCACTCCCACCCGGTCACATGGCCGGCAAGCCATTCCCACAAAGCAGGCCACACCTACAGAAGAGGTTCTAAAAAATGTTGAAACTCACCACTGCTTTAAATATACCTTATATTCCTGTATCTCCTGCAATTCTTTTATTAAAAGTTTATTATAAGAAGAATAAATGATTAACAAGATGTTTGCTTTCAGAGATCCAAACACCATTTTCAGAGGAAACTCATTAACCTCCAAGTGCATTGATGAAACCATGAAACTAGCAGGGAAGCATTATCTTCAAGTCACACTGAAGCCTATTATTGATGAGGTGAGCTCAACTTTATTAACAGAATGTGCAATATCTTTTTATGGTTGTGTGTTTGATCATCAACAATGTACCAAGTCAAGAACATATAAACAGTATGTTACAGAAGTAAACATTTGTTTCTAAAAAAGAATGCAATCTACATACAAAAGAAGCAATTGGTGTAAATAACTATTTTTAGATCCAGAAAAAAATGTTTTTTTCTTAAATTTATGGAGATACTTGTTATCTCCATATTGCAGTTGTCTTGTCTTTTTTCCAATGACAGAAATAAGCAAACCACATATTTCCTTTAGTTGATTCAGCATTTTCCCGAGTTGATAATGTCATGGCTAGCCAGTAATCTATTCTATTTTTAAAAAACAGTAAAGTTTGCAAGACCATGTCATAGTCATATTTTGTCTTATTCAAAGCAATTAAATATTCTTTTGATAGCATATTCATAACATTGGAGTCCATTGGAATTAAGTGGCTAATAAATTTAAATATATAGAATAACTAACTAACTAAATATTATTTCAAAATGCTTGAGAAAATTTAAAAACTACAACTGCATTTCTTTTTGTAGACCATTTATTTCCAAATGATAACTTTTTCTCTACAGCCTAAATATTTGTCTCCTTCATTTTCCTTAATGATCATGTGCACCACATTAGCAATGTCAATAAACGCAGTTAAGACTGGAATTTACATTTTAGCCAGTATTGGAAATTAGATTTGCAATGGGTTTATAAACTTCTCACTCAGGGGAAAAATGGTTAGTCTCATTGGCAAAGGAAAAAAAAATAAGAAGAAGAAATTGAACCCAAGAAAGAATATTGTTTTCAGATCATTTATTTCTATAAAACAACTGAGTAGGGCAAATTCTATTCGGAAATGGAGACATGTCAAATCCTATTGGTAAATAATCCATTACACTGATATCTATTATGTATTTTCTTTGTTATTTTTCACAGATCTGCCAGCTCCATAAACCTTGTGAAATTGATCCTGTAAAGTTGAAAGATGCTGAAAATTTGGAAAATAATAGGGTAGGTAGTTCAAGCGAGAAAATCAGTTTTTTACCTATGAAAATAATTACTCCTTGAAATGTGTTACCAACTGTAAACTAGGTGGGTCTTAAACCATTGTTTACAATAGAAATGTAATTATGATGTGAGTTTGCTACTCCTCTCTGCAACAGATTAAGATTAAGGATGATACTGATTCCACTTTCCAGATGTTGAAAACTAGCACGTTTCATAAAGATTGTTTGTTATATTACCAGATTTCAACACAAAAAGAAAAAAAAGAGAAAAAAGTAGTTGTTGATGTCAGGTAGGCATTTTTCCTGGCATGGAATCCCATCAGAGCCTCCATTTATTTCATCTTCTAGAACAAGGGTGTCAAACTCAATTTCATTGCGGGCCGCATCAGGGTTGTGTTTGACCTCAGAGGGGGGGTGAGCATGGCTGGGGCAGGCGTGGCCAGTTTGGCGTCATTTGTGCCAGGGGCACCTGTGGTGGCCCGTGGTACCTCTTCTAGAGAAAATGGGCTCCCGAGCTCCGTTTTCGACTTGGATGGCCTCCTGCAACCCTCTGCCAGTAAAAACAGAGTTTGGGAGGGCCGCTACCTGTATTAGTGTAAGATGGTTTAATGCAATATAATTACTAATATAATGGCATTGCTTATAATAATCAAATTCTATTAATATGAAAATTAATTAAAATGTACCTTGTTCAATGTTTTAAAGGTCTGAAATTATTTTGCAATTAATGTTTTATGTTCTTTATTTTCATTTTAGGAAAATCTTAGGCAGTATGTAGATCGAATTTTCACAGTTATTACAAAATCTGGGGTCAGTTGCCCTACAGTGATGTGTGACATCTTTTTTTCATTGAGGGAATCAGCAGCTATACGTTTCCAAGGTAATATAGAACTTAAAATCTTTTTTGCTCCCCCATTTAAACTAATTGGAACATTCTCTATTGTACATTCTTGTGAAGCCATTTTACTACATAGCAATAGCATTTAGAGTTATATACCACTCCACAGTGTTTTTAAAGCCATCTCTAAACAGTTTACTGAGGTAGCATATTGCTCCCAACAATTTGGGTCCTCATTTTACTGACCTCGGAAGGATGAAATGCTGAGTCAACTTTGAGCCTGGTGAAATTCCAACTGCCAAATTGCAAGCAGCTG